TAGTAGTCTTGCTAGTGTGAGGATCATGAATTAGACTATCGTTATAATGATATTTAGCTCTACATTTCTGAATGGGATGATTAATCCTCTCACATCATGAACAAAATTTATGAAAAATAGAACTAGTACTTTTTTTAGGAGCAGCAACAACAATAGTATTAACACTATGAGTCCGACTCATACCCAATCAAGTTTCCTCAGATATCAATTATGTAAGAACATTATCTATAGTTGGTAAGGGATGTTGATAAAAAAGTGAAAACCTGATATTTTCAAATTCATCTCAAAGTGCCATTAGAAATTAAATAAGATAAATTTGATTTCGATAAGTAATAAAATTATCAGTATCACTTTCATCTTTGAATTTTGGATCAGAATTTTCAAACATGTCCTATAAATATTGCATGTTAGAATAAAAATCATCAATCAATTGATCTGATTCTTGACGAAGTTGAGATAAAGTGATCAAAATATGATATTGATGAGTAAGGGTAGTAGAGCTATACCATGTGGCAAGAAAATCTCAAGCGTCTTTAGCAAGTTCAAATGGCCCAAAATGTATATTGATAGAATAAACAATAGTGTTAGTGAACCATGTCTGAATTCGATGACTTTTACTTTTTCATTCCTCTAACTGATTTGCAAATTTATCACCGAATTTTTCTTCTTTTCTTTCCAGTGCTTTACACTATCCGATAACAACAAGTTATAATTTCATTCTCTTTAGATAACTACAGATAGCTGTAGCTCAACTATTATAATTATTTTATCAAGGATAATGAAAATTGATTGTGCATTTTCTTATTGAATACCTAACATTAAGCTCTTGAAAAAAAAAAGAAAATTTGAAAAGTTATGAGTATTGATATAAAAGATGATCTTGAATATAGGAAGAGAAACCTAAAAAATTGAAGCGTGAAAGTAAAAAATAAAGTTTAGAAAGGAGAACAAACCAATGATAAGAATAAGCAAATATTAGTTACCAAGGTGATTTACCTTCGAAAGGAACCATGAAATCACTCTAATACCATGAAAAAAGAGAAAATGATAAAAACTTTATTGTAATGACTTGTATATTACAATGAGGCTTAAAAACTATTTATACAGAGGTAAAATATTACAATATAAAAAATACAATCAATAAAATTAATAACTAAATCAATTTCTATAATTAACTAAATCAATATCTAATATTTTTTAAATTAATATCAAATCAATCTAGAATATTACTAGAATAATATCATTACTTTATAATATTATCAAAATATTAGTAAAATATCATTGACATTCTCTACCTTTTATCTGCCAAAAAAAAAAAAAACCCAAAAAAGTAGAAAAGAAATCAAAAAAGAGAAAAGGTTAGATGATGAAAAATTAAAGGGAAAGGAAAAGAAAATTCGAAAACAGGAGCAACAAAAAAGATTATATTATTTTTAAATTTTCCTTTTGGAAGAGTTTAGCAACCTGAACAAACGGATAAAAAACATGTTAACCCTTAGCACGATCAAAACAGCTAGTCGTTTATATGGTTCCCATGAAGCCTTTTTTATGTAGAGTAAATAATGTATAAATGATAACTTTTCTTTTCTTTTCTTTTTCCTTTATGTTTTAATTAATATAAAAATTATTATATTTACTTCAATAAATAAGTTTTTATATATTTTTTAATTTTAAAACCAAAGGCATTTATAACTAGTACAAATACATATATTAAAAACAATAGGAGCAAAGGGTTACAAATCATACAGTTGGACAAAATAAGAATTATGTGTAAAATTTATCTCTATGTGAAAATGAGTTTTAAAATACTGAAAAAAGTTATCTATATATGAAAATGCGTTTGAAAATATTGGAAAAAAAATTTCACTGATAAAGTCAAAAAATTCTCTGACGAACGATGAATGAATGATATAAATATATATAATATATATATGTAAAATGTTGTAATATAAAGATAAAAAAATGATTGTAAAGGGTTAGTGTTATGAATAAACTATAAAATATAATAAAATGTTTAATGTAATTAATATTTAAATTTAAAAATTTTTAATGTAATACTTAAATTATGAGTATATTGATTAATATAATGTTTATAAAATTATTTATCCGTCACGTGTCATCGATTAAAATTAACTGTATTAGAAGTAAATATCACAGTAGTTAATATATTTATAATTTAAAAATCATTTTAAAAATTTTAAAAATTTATATATCACATTATATTTTACTTTAATTTGGAAGTCATTCATGATATTAATTTTGATTGTAAATATTATAATTTAAATTTAAAACATAATAAATATCATTTTTTAAAAATAACAAAATGAAACAATTAAATTAAATCCTCAATTATATTATGTTATTCTTTAGGCAACGGTCCCAAGTCAAGAAACCCAAGATAAGCTTGAATATTGTTTTTCATGTTAAAGTTGCGTACTGGAATCTTGGGTGATATGCCCAAAAGAGCATAAAAATGTTTGTATATGAAACATCAAGTTCAAGGAACTGAGAATAGCTAGAGAAACAAACCCATGAATTAAACTTATAACTTCCATCTGTCGAGAACAAAATTTCCTTCTCATGTTGCTGTCTCCTGCCCAGCAGAGATGGAATATCATGGGAAAGCAAAGTTAGCAAGATTATACTTGATTATGATTACTATCTGGGGTGCTAGATTTGCTGCCAATCTGATGTTCACCCTGAAGCATGCATGAAACCCTAAACAATAAGCAACTCAAAGCTACCATCCAATTAGCACGTTCGAGAGCTTAATCGTACTCCACTAAAAGTTATTAGACAAATGAAGTGTAAGTGCAAAATTTTGTTCAAAGTTGTTCAATTATCTTATTAAATAAATATAAATGAATTTAACGTCAATTTATTTATGAAATATTCAACGACTGTCATGATTTACTTGCACTCTAATTACATTTATGCCATTCATTGGTAATTACGATTTAGACCACGAAAAGTGAAAAAGAAAATAGCATTTCTCTAATAAATTAAAGTTAATTTTATTTTACACTTTTCGTTAATATTTAAGTAAAAACCTTTCAAAAAGTAAAAAAAAAAAAAAAAAAAGACTTCTTTAGAAGAAAAGGTTAAAGAAAAGTCGGTAACCTGACATTTGACGGTCAAAGAAACCCCCGGCTATATATGGGCCAGTCAGGTCAGGTCACACAGCAGTGACAGTCAGCAACGCCCCTCAGTCATCAGCCGCCCAAACTCTATCAAGGGTCACCCCAAAAAAAAAAAAAACATTGTAAGCGAACGCTTTTTCACTTTCACAACTCCCACCACGTGTCGTACAACGCCATCCCAATCTCATCACCCTAAGTCCCACTATCAAAATCCTACACCGACGAGCCGGCCTAACTTTCACCCACCTTCAGACATGTCACCCAGGCCCACCCTCATTTTATTCGCAGCCGCCCCACAAGCTTCCGTACAAAAGTTCACTTGAAGTCCTACAGGTGGTGAATGATGATTGGGTAGTGGTCAAATTTTCAAAATGAGAGAGACGAAATTAATCACAAAATTATTTATGCCTGACTTAAAAAAAGAAATATTTTGTTGGCGGATTCCAGACGACATGAAGACCGGGTCCCACTCCAAAAGCGGCCGCCAGGGCCACCTCTTTGAAGACTGTTTCACGCGTGGACCCTTTTTGTTTAAATCAAAATTATTAAATAAAAAATTTATATGTGAAACTCCCAATTCTATAATATAATTAATTGGGCGGCGAATATGCACGTGACGACAACGGAAATCCCGACATAAAGCTCTCAACACGGAATTACTCCCATCTCCCCAAAATTGGGTCCACAGCCCATTTCCCATCATGTCCAACATCCCACTTTCCGCCGTCGATTATTCCCTTAAAAAATTCAAAAACAGCCGTGTCCGCATATAACTCCACTCTCTCATTCCCAACCGATCGATCTAAAACTGCCCACTAAATCAGATCTAAAAACCGGCTTTGAACACGCGGATCATGTAGTAGATATTTTTGGTTCGAGGCGGCAGATTTCTCCTTTTATTACTGACTGTGGCAAACCAAATGGGACCCACGGGTAACGTCATCAAACAGATTTTCTAACACTCGCCGTAACTCTCGATTCTAAGATACCTAAAAGCTATGACGTTGACGTGTCACTTGATTGCTTGTATGCCAGATATAACAATAATAGTAATTAAACAAAATAATTTTTTATTCCTTTTCGTTAAATTTATTAAAACAAATCTTCCAAACAGGAAATTGAAACAAAATAACAGCTAACTAATAATTGAAAGCAATTTATAAGTTTAATATAATTTATAAATTTAAAATTATAAATATATTTTATAAAATAAAAATGTTAAGGAATGATGTCAAAAATGAGCATTTATGATTAAACTAAAATGTTTGTGTGCCAAGAAAAAGTATTAAAGTGTTATTTTCAAAATTATTTTTCACAACCAATATATTTGTCAATCTTTAAAATACTTTTACAATAAATTTAACGATCAAAAATAAACATAATATTTAAACATGAACTCAATTTATTTTAATATAATTAATCTTAAATAATACCTTTCAAATTTTAAAAACACGTAACACATTTTTTATTATTATTATAAGAAAAGATCTTTTTTAAAGAAAATAATAAATAATCCTTCAAAAAATAATAATAACTGTAAAAATATTTTCTTAAATTAAAAAATATTTTACTTTTGAATCCTAGTTCAGTCATATAATCGTATTAAAAAATAATATTCAATAAAATTCTTTATTTATCTATTAACAATCATTTTATCTCCATTTTCAAAAAAAAAAAAAAAAAAAATAGAATTTTGTTATTAAAATTTAATTATAATAGAGCAGAAACAACATTGAGAAAATTTTCTCAAGTCGCCAAAAACAAATCACTAGAAGTTACATTTTTTGTTATATACATTACATGTCAGCTTTTAAACCCCCAAAAAAGAAAAAGTACAGCCAAAAAACGCAGAGAATCATAGCTCAAAGAGACATTCGCAAGAAAAAAAATCAATCCATCTCAGGTGGCAATTGATTAAGATCAAGAACAAACACTCCTCGTTGCAAGCCTCCTTCAAAATCGACAACCGACGACGACGAATCCGAATCGCTCTGGGCCCCACCAGAATCGGGGCAACCCTTACCAGCAGAAGCAAAGGCATCGAAGAAAAACACAGGACGATGAGCCGTGACGGGGAGCGAAAAACATGCGCTGGAGAGAGTGAGGTCCAGCGGCGGAGAAGAAGACTCCACGGTGCTGCTCTGGCTGGGGCTGCGCGTAAAGTCGTTGTTGTCCATGAAATTTGTTTTGGCTTTAGCGCCACGGAACTCCCGTGCCGCCGCGTCGTATGCACGCGCTGCTTCCTCAGCTGTGTCGAAGGTGCCGAGCCAGACTCGGGTCTTTTTTCTTGGGTCTCGGATCTCAGCTGCGTAACGGCCCCAAGGGCGCTTTCTAACGCCGCGGTAACGGATCTCCTTAGAAGTCGGATCGGGACTCGGGTTAATCGGATTTGTTTTTGATCTTGGAGCCATGGTTTTTACCTTCTATTTAAATTGTGAGACGAGAAAAACTGGTTTAAGGACAAGGGAGTTGGAAGGGGTGAGTTTATATAGAGGAGGGTGAGCTTTTAAAACGCACCGGTTCGGCGCTTCGTTGTGTCCAGTCAAAGCAGGATTGTGTGGGAGTTGGTTTTCTGTTGCATGAACCGCTTTAGTTCAATTTCGGCTTCCAATCATTTTGCGCCACGTCTTTTGTTAATCTCTAGTATAAATTTAATTAGATCTGCTAAATTTTTTTTTTTTAAGTTTTCTTGTTTTATTCCGAAAATAAAGGAAAAATAAAAATGGGTTCTTCCAAGAAAACTTTGGACTTTCTCCAGAACCGCGTTTTCATTTTAAACGGGATAAAAATCCAGGATCCACACGCAACTGAGCATCACACGTTTCACGCGTGAAAATAGAGTTTATTCCATAATTAATGTACTATCGGTTACACCGGATTCTACTGACTTAGTCAGGCAAGTCTTTTGACTGCACTGATCCACGATAAAGTAGCCGCCCTGTCCAAAAAAAAACACACACTGGGTCCACGCTGCAAAAAATCTTAGGAATCCACGTGTCAAACTTTGGCAATGGGTCTATCGAAGGCGGCGTTTCTTAACGGCGGTTAAATTGCGATTTTGCCGTCGCTTTGTTTGGTCGCTGTGCTGATTAACGGAAAAGACTCTCATAGTGACGGCGGATTTTTTTATTATTATTTTAATTTTTGGGTCGTTATTATTTGGGTCTCTGTCTCATGCCGCGTGATACGGATCACGCAACTTTCGGGAAACTCACTTGGAAGCTGCTGTCGGCTTTGAAGTGGTCAATGGTATCTAACGGTTGTAGGTGATTTTGGTTGTCTGTTGGGATGTTCACACGTGTTGTAAAAAGACTTGAAGTGACATGGAAATTGTCCAACCAAATCTTTCTTTTTCATTTGCATTTTGCAAGAATATGATAAAGAAGTAAATTACAAATTCTTATGAAATTATAGGGGATAACATTAATTTAACATCCTAAGTTAATAAATCAAATTTATTATTTATTTTTGAATGGATACAATTTTATCATTATTTTTTTTATTTGATTTAATAGTGTCAAACCTATTTCAATACAATTTAAGCTTATTGAATCCCTTGGTGGCTTTCAAGTTAAAAATCATTAAAAAAAAAAAATTCAAACTGGTCCAGATCCTTTACATAATAAATAATTTTAAAAAATAAATCTTAAATATTTTAATTCTACTTCTTTCCTTAAAGTTATAAATCGTAAATCTTTATTTGTCATAATTTGTTGTTCTATTTCGATAAATTAACTCCATCATGATTCGATATCTTACTCATATTAACATAGTTATTTGTGAACAAGTTTAAAGATTCCTTCAGCATCCTGTTAATTTAAAATCTTTGCATATCTTCCTTTTCACTCCTTTCTTGCCTTAGAGCTTTGGCATCTTTGCATTAATTTGTCGGCTCTGAGCATGTTTCTCCATGCATGTTCACTTATGCCAGAATAATCATAAAATTGCAGTATGACTAAAATCTCTGCATGGTATACAACTTTCAGAATTAATTTTATTCTCCTTTCAATGACAGGTCCAATTTAAAGGTGAATTATGGGAATTGAGATAGGCCAATTTTGAGTTACCTGCAATTTATGATTTGACTGGGTTCCCCATTGTTCATAGGATGGACTTGAAAGTGCAGTATGCTATTTTTTGTGCCTTGGATGTTAGTATATTTGAGGGATTTCTATTACCATCATCTTGGGAAGGGAAAGAGTCGAAAGAAACATCAAGACAGTGTGCGGTTTTTTCACATATTGTGAGAAAGAATATTAGATATTCGTTTTTGTTTAAGTATGTGCACAAGCATGTTTGTGTTTTAGACTAAACTTTTATATTTTTAATTAATTTTCCTGTATTTCCATATGTATCTTAAGTTATGGAATTATACTTTTGTCATTAGTAAGCACATATAGATTTGTAAGCATATAGGTATTCAATTATAACCTTCATTTTCATTTGAACTTTGCCTTTTGAAGGTGGAAGAGTCGGTGTCTCTTTTTCATTTCTGCAATTGTTGCTGTTATGGTACGGGTTGCAATGGGATGGTGTAAAATTGCAAACTGTAGACATTTTGGCTCCGGTGGTTTCATAATATTGGATATATCGGAGTTAGGATCTGATCTGAACTTAAGCTCTTGCATATTTATTGTTTTCCATTCTTTAACTTAGGCTCGGCCTTAGACTAACTGTTTCCAACTTTTTTTCCCTTTCTTCCTTTGCAGTGGTCAAGAGGACTATTCTTTTGAGGAATTATTGTCAATGGCAGTTATAAGAGTTATTGGAGTTTTACTAAGTAGAGCTTTTTCCTTGGGTTTAACATATGTTCTTATGATCTTTGATGTAAGACAAGTAGGGAGAAGAGATAGAGTATGGAGATTTAGAGGAAAATAAGCAAGTAATCGTTGTTAAATTCTTTGAAATCTGGTTGACTGTAGTTGCTTCCCAATGCTCTTACTTGGAATGTGGATATTATTTGTAAGTGGAAAGGTCTTACAAAATGCTAGCTAGATGCAATGTTATTCTTTGTCTGATATTCTCACCTTAAAGAAATGGCTAATTATTTAGTGGAGAAATAGTTTTTAAGATTTGAAATTGCTATGAAATGAATAACCGATGGACTGTTTATTCTGGCAGGGATGAATGCTCTCAATTAAAGACAAATTTGGAAGAAAAGATTAAAGCTTTGGAATTGCTGATGAATGAGCACCAGGTACTCAAAGCTCAACTAGAACAACTGACCAGAAATGTAAAGGTTGAAAACAATATGTTGGTTGATTGATGGATGCTTAAAAATGCAAGATGCTGAACGGTTTAATGAGGTATGATATATTGTTGTAACAGCTACATGAGAACACAAAATATGGTATATTTTGATCAGGTGACTTTGAGAATGATGAATAGCTAAGTTCCATATTGCTTGACATTTAAAAGGTGTTGCACTTTTGATTCATTAAGAGTTCGTTCATGCATACAAGTTAGCTAAGTTCAAACATTATACAACTGTAAATATAAGTAGTCTGTTGCCGTGCTGGAACTGACATACAACTATGGGGTCACAAAATATGATAAGGAATTGGTTCTGCAAAAGTAAACTCTTTATTTTTTTTCCTGCATTATTAAGTTATGTTCCTTGCCTGTTTTTATTCTATTTTGGCAAAGAGAGAAGCTAAATTTGAAAGATGTTGATGATTATAAATATTTGAAGCAGAGTAATTACTATTATATTTCGAATGTGATGGTGATGATGATGATGATTAATAATCGGATGTGATGTAACACAACCACCCTCTTGGACTCATTATCATAATCAGCAGCAGCAGCAACAACAACAACAACAAAGTAATTATTTAAGGGATTATCGTTGTACCATTTGTGACAAAAGTCTGTAAGATAATTCACTGTATTGTAGTATAGCATGCAAGGTCAGTTTCTTTTCTTTTGGATCCAGCAAATCATTTTTGAGCTTTTTATTACGAGTTTTACAATCAATATATTTCTTGACAGGTTTTAGACATATATGGAGATGAACAAAGAGAAGAAAGCAGTAAACTCATGCACTGTCTCAAAGATAAAGATGGAGCAACGTATGTTCGGCTACCATTAACCAAGAAGGCAAGGCAAGATGCATGAAAAAAAGAAGGATAAGAAAATAACGAGAAATGGGTAGAGAGAGAATGAAATCTGACATGTCTCATAGCCCAAACTCAATCCTTTTTCCTATCTTTCTTTTGCTTTTCGGTTATTTTCTCTTTTATTTTTCATTTTTGATATATAAAAACAAAAGTTGTATTTATTTTTGAAGAAATTAATTGATGTTTTGTTTAAATTTTGTTTCTTTAGACGTTTTAATTGAAGACAGAAACATATTGCCTTCTGCAGGATAAGGTGGAGTTGGTTGGAAACTGACAATGCAACTAATCTGAATGCAGCTTGCATCTCTGCTGGCTCAAATTCATGTTTCGACTGGTTTGTTAATTTGTATGGTTTTGTTATGACCACAATCTCGTGTGATCTCAGTTTTACCACCTGGGATAGTGATATAGTTAAACTCTTTTTTTTTTCTGCATTATTAAGTTATGTTCCTCACCTATGTTCATTCAATTTTGGTAAAAAGAGAAGTTAAATTTGAAGAATGTTGATGAATATAAATATTTGAAACAGAGAATTGCTATTCTATTTCTAGGGTTTATGATGCTAAACAATTTCGCATTGTTAAGGTTCTTGCTTATTTCACATGAATTACATCTTTTCCATCCATTCAGTTATTTGTCACGATTCATACTTTAAAACAGAGAAAGTGATTTCCATATATTGTTTATATGTCTAATTTTAGGAAGCTTTGGATGTTGTCCATGCTAGCAAAGAAGACCAAGAGAGTGTCTTCCAAATGCTTGCCGCATTACTATGGCTGAGAATTGTATCATTCACCACGTTTGCCGCAGTAGTTCTAGAGGAGACATCAGGATTAAGAAGAAAATTGTGAGCTTTCCTTCTAGTCCTAATAATGCAAATTTGTGTATTTTTATAATTTTATTATTTTTCTCTTTACTTTAAGAAAATTAATTTCTCTTAAAAAATTGTATGTAATGGATAAAATATTATAGATTCATCAGCGAAGCAGGGGCTTGCATATTAATTATAATAATAAAATTTTCCTTCGTTCGTACTCTTCTTAATTCTGATTTCTGAAGGTTAAAAAATCAGCAAAATTTGTATTGATCATCATAAGTTCATGAGATTGAGACAAATTCATTTCAACTCTTCAAACAAAACATGGTGATGTAGTTGAGGGTCATATTTTCGGACTTTAAGCTTCTCCTTAATCTGCCTACTCTTCTTCTTGGCATAGAAAACACCTGTCTCAGCAGTTGATACAAGCCTCACAATTTTGAATTCCTTCTTCTTTTTCTTCTTCCCCTCCCTCCCCTTCCTCTTCTTGGTTCTCTTCCTCCTTCTCTTGTTCTTCTTTTCTCGATCACCACCCCTTTTTCTACTCAGTTTCTGCAGTCAAAATCACATGATATGTTTTTGGCAAACTCTAAAATCATTAAAAACACTTCTAATACTTTTTCTATCAAAGTAAAACATGGAACAAGAACATTAGGCAGCTTGGTAAAGCATTGAACTGAAATTTTTGGCTCTTCTAAATATATATATAAAAAAAATGGAATAGAAACTTCAAAGGCAAAAGTTTTACATTAAACTTGATCATCCATGAGGAACAAATGATTATATAAACAATAAAGTATATTTTAAGTTACAAAGCATGAACACGAACATAAGAAATAAATACGATACGATAATTTTTAAAAAATAAAATATGAATATAATGGGATATGAGAATAAAAAATATTTTTTATATATTATAATTATTAATTAAAAATATATGATACATATTGAACTGAACTTTAAAAAATATTTACTCTTATAGGAAAACACAACAATAAAAAAAGTGTCATTGTTCACACCAAAATTGGGTTTTTCTTCTTTGTTTTATCCAGCCGAGTTTAACTCATATTTTAATCTAACATTCTAAGGACTTGGATTTAACACCCCGTGAATTTGATGATGGAAAGCAAAGCATCAATTTGCAGAAAGTTGGTACCTTTCTTAGGGAAGAATTGGGAGCATATCTTCTGGCCATGCAAACAACATCGTAATGATTTGACCTCTGAAATTTCCTCATGGACAAACATCCTAAAATCAAGAAAGACCCATGTATTTACATTTTAACATTTTGATCACTTTTAGTTGCCGTAACAATGTAAGAAAACAAGCTCAAGTTTAGATCTTTAAGGAAGAAAAAGACTCAAGAGAGTTAAGGGAAATGGGTTACGGTTGAAATTATAAGGAAACACAGCAAAAAAAAAAAAAAAATTCGGTGTCTTTTTTTATACCTTTGGAGAAGAAACTGTGGGAGAGATTTGTGGAGAAGCTCAGAGACTTTAAAGTTGCAAGCTTGAGCTGGCAAGAAGGGAACTTGTTGAGTTGGAGATTTCTTGGTTGGCAAGCAAGATCAAAGAGAGATGAAATTGCAGAGGTCGCCATCTTTCTTTTTCGCTTCTGTACTCACTGTCTTTCGCGAAAATGAAGTAAAGCTTCTTGAGTTCTTGAATTGTCCTAGGATTCCTTGTAAAATTTAGGATTTACCTTTGGGATTCCTTGGATCGCCCAGGAGAGGAATCTGGTAGAGTCAGAAAGGAATGAAATTTACAGTCATGAACGGGTAAAGTTCTTGAAACAGCGGTGATCTGATGATCCCCATATTGGGAAGGTAGACAAACAGAGCTTGATTTTCATTTGCAAGCCTTTTTTTTGGCCAATTACAAGCGTTTATTTATTTACTATAAATATATTGTTTTCTAAATATTAGTCCAGCACAATAGAGTTAAAAAATTAAAATTTAGGCAACTCAAGAATATTCTTAAACATTTCTTACAAAAAAGAAATCATCTACATGCACTTGTAAATGGTGACCGAAGGTGATACCCCCCCCTCCCCCTTTTTTTTTTTTTTGGATTTTGTGATTATTGTATTCTCATAATACCAAGCATGTTGGATTATCACTTTTGAAATTGATATTCTCATTATACTTGTAAGTATTACAATTTAGTTCTTGAGCAAGTTCATTGAAACAGAAATGGGAAAGCTTAATGAGACAGATTCTGGGAGTGATGCAACTGGACATGTGGGTTAATTTAAGAAGTGTTTGATAATATCCAGAAAATTTACAAACTCAACATAGCATGATCTTCAAATGAGAGAAGAGAAAATGTGTTAAAGAAAGGCATTTAGACAACAAAGCAGAAAATGGTGTAATGAAAAATAACATTTTCGGATTCTTTGCCTAAGAAACGAAAGAAAGATTTCACAACTTGCTCCTTTTCTAGGCTGCATTTGCTGCCGGAGCAGGGGTATACCAGCCATGGTGGATCTCTACAGCCTTCTTTCTCCTAGCTAGACGCGACTTTCTGCGTGCTCCAGTGTTCCTATGCAGTGTTCCCACTTTTACTGCTTTATCAATCGTTGAATAGGCCTCAGCAATCAGTTTCTCAATTGGGAAGATTTCTCCAGCTTGTGCATCACGTTTCTTCCTGAGCACATCTAGGGCCCTCAAAACCTTTGAAAAAAAAAGAAGTCAGGAATGTCATTAGGCATTTCGTGGAACATTACAAATCATCATAGAACAGGAAATAAAACATATCAGAAGTTTTTCCCAAGTTGCTTACTCTGCCATTTTATTGCCTTGCGCATTACATCATCGAAGTAACAAATGAATAAAGGCAGGGAAAGGAACAAAAGTGCAAACTAAAGCACAAAAATACACTCCAATGAGGCAAAAATGGGAAACAATGTGGAGTCTATTTCCGGTACATGGCAGATGAGATGTTTCTGCTTCTCATCTTCGGTTAAGCAAAGGCTGCATAGCACTACAAAAAAGCTCTTCTACACACTAACTGTTGCATATTCATCCATTTTCCCCTGGCCTCCCATTTCAGCAATTCTTCCCACCGAAAGAGAAAATAAAAAAGAATTTAAATAGCTTCCACATTTAGCCCTAATCAACATACATATGCTTGAGATAAGCGATGATGAGATCAACAAAATGATTCATCCACTAATGAGAATCACAGACATTATAATTGGCAAATCAAAGATTTTGGACTTGAGATAAGCAATGATGAGCACTCAACACAATGGTACCATGCATATGTTTCATTGACATGTAATCAAATTATACAGCAAGATTATTTATTTAGGTATGATAACTCAATGAAGAAATATATAAAAATCATTACAAATAAGCTAATCTGTTTTGCAAAGAGCGAATCTTGCATATGTCTGTCGCTTAGATGAATTTGAACAGCAGAATGTTTTCATAAGAATCTTGTTGAATTACCATAAAGATTGGGTTTTACTTCTACATAGTGGCTTATGTGTTGGTTCTCGTAAGAGAACATGTGAGAGAACTACTCTAGGAGGCATAAAAGTCCAAAACTTGGCATTCCAAAAATCCTATAAGCACAATAACTATAACCTTAAGCAATCAGGGAAGTAAATTGTAAGGATTAGTACCTTCTTCATCCGGGTTTTGACTTCGGATTTCTTTGATTTGTTATAAATACGCCTTTTTTCAGCTTGACGAGCTCTCTTTGCAGCTGAATCAGCCTTTTTCTTCGGAGCAACCTCACAAACAACAGAACGACGAGTTGGTTTTTGAGTCATTGTGCTAAAAGACAGACTCCCTGAAACAAAAACCCCACCAAAAAACACCAACTCAAAACTCATCTCAATTTCCACAAAAAATATTATTTTAAGGAATCAGTTCAGATCTAAAATTTGTTCATTCATTAACAAAAAAACTAAAAAAGGGACTAAAACTACATATAAACAATAGCAACAAATCACTGAATTCGCAAAAAGCTCAATTAAATTGCCAAGAAAATCTAGTAGGAAACAAGTGAAGGACTACAATGGGAATTGGAAATGCTGATAAACCCAGAAACAGATACTTAAAAGTTTCGACTTTCCCCGGGAATTTCTTGCCAACCAAACATTGAATTTATCAAAAAAAAAAAAAGAATGTGTTGCAATGAAATCATATGAAGAAATCTGCTTAAACAGGCAATAGCAAAGGGTTTTATTTTTCTTGTTTTTCCCTAAAATTATAATGACCCATCAGCAGAAACTTAAAATAGTTAAGAATTTTCATTATGATTTTCACTTCAACCAAATAAAAAAAGAAATGGGTATTGCATAAAACATGATAATATGACAACAGAAGAAAAAAACTTACCTTTGTAGAAGAGACCGTGAGAAAGATTATAGGAGAAACTGAGAGACTTAATAGCACTGAAATTTTGATGCAAAGCATAAGGAGAAGGGGAAGAATTGATATTGTTTTTAAGTGAAAGGCTTTTGAGCTTAGATTGAAGAGTAAAGCATGAAGAAGACAAGCAACAATTAACTACACCCGCCATTTCTTTCTTCTTTCTTCCTTTCTCCTTCCCTAAGCAATGAAACTGGAGCTCTATGTTTTTCCTCAGGCTTTCACTTATCCAATATCCCATATGCAGACGACCGAGAGCTCAAGAGGATTTTCTTTAAGTCCTACTTTACCCCTAATGTCCTCTCAAAACGACATGTCGTTTCTATTTTATTTTATTTTATTTTTCACAGCCTCACGGGATGTACCGTGAGAAGGAGAGAGCTTAGTTCGAATTCAAATCTTCTGCTCCCATCAAGCACCTTAACCATTTAATTAAGTGCAAACTGCAGAGTTAACCAATTTAACTGATATAATTATTGTACGAAAAACATATGAATTACACGATCTATAATTTTAATAAATATATATCATATTTAATATATCAATACAAATTATAATTATAATAATAATTTTTATATCTTACACGCGTTAAATATAAAACAAATATAATACTAATATATAAAAAGAACATGAATACACAAAAATTTAATTGAGTGCTAACTCTTATGTAGTTATGGGGCAATTAAAGTTATTAAATGGTAAAAAAATGTTAATTTTCTATTTATGCATCTATTTTATTTAATTTTTACCCAAACAATTGAAAAATATCCTTCTATGTGGGTATTTTGTAAACTTAAATATTCTGATATTTCTCATTGAAGAACATAGTAAACTATATATAAATTAAAAAAAAAAATAGAAAGTGGAAGCAAGAATCATTTAACATTTATCATTTAGTGAAGTTTACAAGTTCCTTTTTCCAGTGAACAACCCGGTAGAATTTCAAACATGACAAAGGCCGATGTATCTAATATTATGCTTGCAAAAATCTAAAATATTTCGGCTGTCATCACTACTGGAGCTGCTTCAGTATGTTTTCTTGCCAGATATGGACCTCTCTGAACACCATCTTGCAACTGCAAACGTACAAGGAAAAGGACCAAGTGTCATACAATGCATGATAATTGCCATTTACAAGGGCCAAACAGAATTTGCCAATGCAGATCAGAGTAATCCATGAATTACAGTCATCAAATCACATGCTTTGTATGAATTTGGGATCTCTTTTCACACCACTGTAGAATTAGCAACATGCCATTGATTGACACTACTGAAATGCGAAAGAAAAAAGAGGCCGGATGCACATCAGTTTATAACTAACCTTCACAGCTATTCCATGGAGCGCAGGGTCGCTAACGAGTTTACTTGACATGAATGCCCTATGGATTGCCTTGCAACAATTATATCTAGCTTCCATACCTGATAACAATAAATATAGTAGTTAATCAGACACAATATTAAACAACAGTAACAATAAAGATCAGAATACATGGGAGTTCAGAATTTTTTTTATGCTTAAAAGATTAGAGAATAAATAGTGAAAGATCGGTTTTCGGATGTATATCGAAGATCAAAAGAAAGGAAACATTACAATCCAACTTTCACATTCAATTTGGAAAAGAAAGGAGGTGATCTCTTATGATGTCCAAACAAATATACCTATTTTAGTAGTTTCAGTAGCCGGATCAGTCACCATGTTTATTATCTCCTGTTTTGAGCAAATCTCCATCAGGCACCATGATCTAGCTACTAACCCTGTTATCACTCTGTACCCCTTTCAGAAAAAGCAATACCTTGTTAATTTCTTGATGAACAATCATTTGGCAACCATGTGCACCAAAATGAAACAAGACATTGGTAGAAGAATGAATAGAGACACCTGTCCATAGGTCAAAGCCCTCATATATTTCATCTTATGCAGAAAGCACAATAGATAAATCGACATATATTCTTGTTCTTCGCTTTGTTTCACATAAGCATCAGGTTGACCTTTTCTTTTGGTAGGTATATAGTCATGTGAGAGCAGTTAGTTCAAACATTAGTTACAATAAAATGTTCTACGTATGGAAATTATGCTTTACCTTCATTTCGTAGAGAAGTAAATGATTAGCATTTAAAAGTTTCGTTCTTTGAACTAGAGAACTTACAAAAGGTATGATTCCAAGAGGTTAGTAATGTAAAACAATTTAAACAAAAAGATTGCAGCTTGAAATAATATTGGGGGCAAAACATTCTAATACAAGCCATACATTTCCATTTTCACTCATTTTCTTGGCAGCAAACAGCATTAACAGGAATTGATGATGTCTCCAAGTTACATGCTTGTGCTCTTTAAAGTTAATACAGAAACCATTTTTACAAAGTAAACTAGCGTAAAATTCTGAGTACAACTTTAGTTAATTTCAGCCCAAAATCCTCGTAAAATATTTATTACCTAAGATTACAACAAGGGTTATGGAAAGCAGGCTAGATTATAAAAAATGAACATATATAAGCTCCAGAATCAGTTTTTCTATTAGAAAAAGATTAAGGAGGGTCCCTTGAAACTAACTGGTTCTCAATTGGGAAAGTCAACTTGGTTTGGTCCAAAAACACATAGATTAATTGTTGAGAAGAAATACTCACTGCTAGACGAAATTCCTCAGCCTGTTGAAGAACTGATAGGAAAAGACCCTGCAAATTATGCAAAAGAAGTAAATAAAGCGTTTTTCTTTGGAAAATATCAGTGAAGATGCAATGCAAATGATTTCAAGAAATAATTGGCTTCTTTTGCAAAAGAAAAAATAATCATACAAAACAAAGGCATATGCTAGCACGTTAGAGAAGAACACATGATAACTTTTTGCCTTGACTTACTAAATAATTATTCATAGTAGTCAACGGACTGACATTAAACAATGTCCTTGAAAATAAAGGAATGCCAAATTTAAGCAACCATGAGATAAAAGCACAAGAAAAAGAGAGAATTTTTAGAGAATTGCTTACAGATGGTGTCAATTTTGAACTTTGTGATGCTACTTCATAGATCAAAAGTCGAAGATTTTCTTCTGCATCACCATTTAGCATTACACTATCCTCAGGCCGCTTTTCTCCAGCGACATTCCCCAAAGCATGCAATGCAGCCTAAATTGCAATAAAAAATCCCTCAAATATTAAATTGAAGATGCAACATGTAAGGTTCTCACACACAATATGCTCCATGCAAGATCAATTTCAAGACAAAGTTTGCCCAGTTCAGCCATAATGTTTTAAATACAAGTTATATCCAATTTTCATGCTCTGACCAAAAAAGCAATGAAAACCACTATTTCCTCCAAACTCCCTGGACATTTTAAACATTAGGTTGCAACATTTCTCAAGCCAAAAGAAGCAACAGGTTATAGCTAAAAAGGACCACAAATATCTTGAAGACAAAGCTAATGGTCAAGAAACCAAGGGAAAGTTAATGGCTAAATTCCACCAATAATAAAACTAAAATAAATAATCCTTATTCAACTATATGAGCTCTAATTTGAATCTCCAAGCTCATAGAGAAACAGCCACGCACTATGATGGGTGAATTTGACTATATGGTTTAAGACAGCTCAAGGACAATTGGGAGGTTATATCAAATTTCTACTGCTTAATGACCTTTACATCGAGTCAGGTCTTTTAGGAATCTGCCAAAATATCAAAAATCAAGACAACATAGAATCACATGCATAATTGTATTAATGCTGTGTTTTCCATTCTTAATCAATTGATTCAAAGAGCCCTCAGATGTGTAATACGTTATGACGTTATGTGCACTGAAGCATAACAAGCAAAATTAAAATAAGAAACTAAGACATTCAAAAAGCAAAAGAATTTGATATGCTTACCAACTGTTTACCACGCCCTTGCCAATCAAATGCAGCATGAACAATATGCCTTGCAGCAGGTGGAAAACTCGACAGTAGCAACACAGCTCCTTGGATTGCTAAAAGTATCAAAATAGGAGGGAAAAAATCAGACTTAAAAAGCATTTGCTTCAGGATTATTAAACATAACAGACAAGTTCTCCCTCATATAGTCCCTATCTTGGGGTTTTTTATTGAAAGAACATATAAGTAAGACAAGCACTTTTTTTTCAAATAAAAACCAAGTACAATGGACATTCAAAAAGTTATAATATACATACTAAAGTATGTTAACCAATTGACAATAAATGTAAAAGCCCAATCATGATATAAGAACACAATGTACCCTAAACCAAACCCATGTTGATATAACATGGAGCATGTACTTTACGGCAGGTGTCTATATAATGACTAGTAAATGAAATTAACCATTTCTTGTAGAACCATAAAGAGAAATTAAATAATTAAATGGACACTAGATCCAACATAAAGCAAACTGAACAAATGCTTAAGAAAATAATAAGATTAGGAATAAGTTCAAAGTGAACTAGCAAATACTATCAACTAAGCAAGTTATTTCAACTGATGGTAGTCACTTGATTAAGTGAACAATAATCAAAAACTTACATGATCCTATTTGTCCAAGAGCTTCAAGTGCAGATAAACATTCATCTGTATCTAGACTATTCAACAGCCCAATTCTCACATTAATGGCTGAAATCACACCTTTGGCACCTGAATATAGAAGAAAAAGAAAAAATCACATATCTATGTGCATTTTGTTCCAGGTTAATGACTAAGGTTTATATCCTTCATGATAGTAAGCAAATTTCAACAGGATTTTTCTTGTACCAGCACTAGGTGCGTGCAAGGTGGTAACACAATATTGCCTACAGGCAACAGCACACCCAAACTAAAAAAACTAAATGTATAATCACATGGATATCAAAAGAGAAGAGAGAAACAATAAAAATGATAACAATAATTGCATGTTCAGTCTTATACACTTCTATGAATGCTTAATTAAGTGAAATTAAGTAAGAGACAGTCTCTTCAAAAATGAATTTCAGAACTCAAGAGGCATAAGCCTTACTTGGTTCATCAACAACCATGTATATGTTCTCCTTGGATAAAAGCCTTCCACTTATCATCATTGCTCTTGATCTCAGAATTGATTCCATTGACGAGTTGCTATAAAATAAAGGGCATTACAGAGAAATAAGGAAAAACTTGTTGTAAAGAAAGTAACAATTGTTTTGTAAAAGGAAAACAAAACTAAAAGAAAAACAGATTGAGAAATATAATTAATCGTCAAATAAGTACCTGATTATAGAATGAAGCAATAGAAGGGTGGTCCTCGACAAGAACTCTGTACCATGCTGGATTTCAGTCAACTGCATATCTGTCCAGTCAATATACCATACACAAATGCACATGGAAAATGGCATATATTTGGGGTGGGGGGTAAATGGCTAACCTCATACAAGAGCTCCAAAGCACTTAGGGTTACAAGGGTATCATTCGAATTCCTGATTTCTACCTCCAATAAACTGAGCAGATTTGAATTATATACAACTGATGCTACGGAGTTGGAAATAGAGAATAACTTCACAATCAATGATAAAACCCGCACACGTCCCTGAAAGAAGGTTTACAAGGTTAGGAGAGGAATACTTGTACAACTACAGGCAAGTTTCCAGAGAGCATAAATGATTACAGACCACACAATATGTTTTCAAATTTTAGATTTGGTGTTTAGCAGGGGCTTCAAGCTTCTGAACACTACAAACATCTAAAAGTGATAAAAGTAAAGATAGACATTGAAAAGACTGTCTTTCTCAAAATAAACAAAACTTCAGACACTTTTGTGATGCCAATACAGTCAAAAGAAGCTACAATTTTCAAGTAAAGGAATTGACTAAGCAGCAGATAGTCTTTCAATAATATGCCCATAAATATAAGAAAAAGATCTTGGTACAACAGGGAAGACCCATGACACCAATAAAGAAAAAAGTCAAACAGCACTCAAGAGAAAATTATCTTACCAGGGATGAACATCGTGATGCTAAGTTCCCAAGGTGGGTAACTTCATTGATATTAGATGGGAAGATGATGCCCTCCATAAAGTTTCACAAAAAATGAAATATGATTTTAGTTAACTTAAACTATAATAATTCAATGCCTTAAAAGGATTAAACCTCACAGAGCATGTAATTGAAGGTCAAGTCCTCACCATCCCCTCAGGAAAGTGAGCTAAGTTCTTGATTGCATCAATTGCAGCAGTTGCAACTTGTTCATTGCTACAGGTGAGTAACTTGACATCATTTTATGCAGATAGATAATTTCAAACTAAATGATATTAAAAGCAATAATCTATTCGATAGACATGCACCCAGAAATCTTTAGACAAATAATAGAGACAACAAGAGATAGCTAGTACATTCTTCCACTTCCCACTCTCCCTATCTTCATTCTTCCACCTCCCTCTCTAAACTGCAGCAAATGATTACAACATACACCAGATTTTTGTGCTCAAATATAGAACAGTTTTCCCTTTTTTTTAAGTAACAAATCTAGAACAATCTTTGATCCTCTACATTACAGGTGCAAAAGAATATACATAGTGTATTTCCTTCCTACAAGTTGGCTTATAAAGTTTCCATGTTGCTGTGCAATTGACCATCTCAGAGAGGGGGAGCAGAAGTACTTTCAAAATTCTTATTGTTAATATAATTTGATAGGGGAAAAATATGCTTAAGTAACTCTTCTAAACTCCGTGTGTATGCTCTTCAAACTACGTTGAATAATTGCCAACACCCAGGAGCAGTGCAAACATATCTTTAGTACCATAATACACTTTAGGCAAAAGAAAGCAGTAAGTTGGCCATTTAATCACACCATTATCCCCTCGCACAGGATAGAAAATTAAACATTCAAATTTATTCTAGATTCAATCCCATTGTACATCCTCAAAATCCTTCAAGAATTTGTTCCTAGATTCAATCCCATTGAACATCCTCAAATTCCTTCAAGAATTTGTCATCTACCTCCTTAAAACAAGTTGTCCAATTAGTGAAGAAAAGAAGATTAGTAGAGAAGAGAAACCAAACACCATACTAAACAGTTTGATATCACCGAAACCATCAAGTTCACTGAAACATTGCAGATAAGAGACTTGGATGACACATAGAAAACTTATTGATTGCCAACACAAGAAGAATGAAACACTTTTTTGTAACCACAAGCTATTACAGTCCACATGTCAACCAGGCAAGGCAAATTCCCAGTACGACAACCCAAAAAAAAGGGTAAACCTCTAGCCAATAATTCACAACCAGATTTGTCACTCATTTATCAGCTTTAAATTTGTCCAGCACTCACATGCAAAAAACAAAAACGAGAAGAGGGAATATGACAAATTTTATTGCAAAAGGGAAGATAAATCACAAACAATGGAAGGTCTAGTTTTCAAGGCATACAGCGATAGGTTCTTATCCATAAATCAGATAGTCAAGTAAGAGTGGATATATATCATAGTCAACAATCAGCTGTATGGCAGATATAGATTTGTCATCAAAGTTCACTAAAAAGGAAGAAACCTGGATGAAGTTGTCAACATGTAGAAAAATGAATGAGTTAGTTTACAATGATCTATTAATTTTTTCATAACACATGTAAATAAGCACATTGAATGATGCTTTGCTCATAGAATCCAATGGCCATATAACATAGTAAATTTTAACACCTTCCAGTCCCTTCCATCCCAAAAAGAAAAATATCATAAGGGCCCGAAAATGACCAGTTGTGCAGCAAAAACTTAGATGGAATTTTTGTAGATATTCAACTCTTAGCACAATTACAAAGAGGAAATAGTTTACATATGAATAAAATTTATTAAGTGCAATAATTATAAAAGAGCTTAACAAAAAATATAGGAGTTGTGCACATACCGTTTTGCATGCTAAACAACGAACTATTTGAGAATCTGCCCTGAGGCCAACTTGAACAAAAGGCTAAGGAAACAGAAAAGATATCTTCAATCCAATTGTAAATTCACAAGCATAAGTAATGAAGACATATATCCTCTGAAGACTGAACTGTCAAAAATGCTGCTTTAGACTAACTTATTCGAGATCTAAAAAATATGTCAAAAACTGTGTCCACTTTGAAGCATTTCAAAACCAAAGCATAAATACTTAGGAACAACTCCAGCCTACCTTCAAAACATCAGAATGTTTTCCTAATGCTAATACTATCTAAAAATTTTCATTCCAACAAGGTATCCCAACAATGTACATTACATCTGAATCTAATGAACAGCTCACTACAAGTGACAAGCAAGCAATTAATTTATTACAGGCCAAATGCATACCATGTATTGTGGAATAAGTGAGGCACCATACTTAGTCTTAAATACTTTCTCCAGACATTCAACCAGAGCATTTTCCAGGCCAGGCACATCAGCTTTGGTTTGCAAAGCACTGCAAAAGAGTTAGTAAAAGTTAAAGCCCATTACTTTAAGTTAAAACTTAAAACCTATTAACTAAAACCTATTTCCACATGAAAAGTGATTCCTTTTCTCATGAAAAGAATCTCTTAACAACAAAATTAATTGCAACCGCACTCAAAGGTGATTCCTTTTCCAAGACAAATATATGCATTTCGATTAGGGTAGTAAAGAAATTTCCAGAAATACCCAAATTAATAAAAAGAAATAAGACCATAAAAGAAATTTTAAGGTATGTAAAAAGGAACAAAAAAGAGTCAATAAGGGGTGCGGGTGTTACCTGATGATGACAGGGAGAGGAAAACGGTCAAGAAAATCTTTTGTAGCGGCGTCATTTTGAAGAACAGGGTGATGAGCGAACTCAGACGCTGACTCAAGCAAATGAGTTGGATCGTTAAGCGAGAATTCTTCATCCATAGCTGTGCACAGCATTCGATTCTTTGGACGGTAATGTGGCGGTTACAGAAAAAAGCAAGAAAGAGATTTTCAGAGCAAAATTCTTTTCTTTTCTCTTTTTTAGTTTTCTTGTTTCCCAAGAGAAATTAAACACTGAAAATTAATTATTTTATTTATAATATTTTGCAACATTGCATTGCACGTAACAGTTCATTTTTTTTTTTAGCAAGTAAAAGTTCATATTTATAATTATATAAAAAATTATTTATTCATTTATGTAATTTTAAATTTTAATTAATGGAGTTAAGATGAAAACATACTAATAAAATATATTAAAAGTAACTAAAAAATTAAAATATTTTTCTCATTTTTTTTAGAATTTATAGATCATGTAAAACATACTTATGAAGGCTATTTTGGTCCGACAGGGGGACAAAATAACTACTTAATACTCTTTTAAATTAATATTATAAGTTACTATATATATATATATATATATATATATCAATAGTCAGATAGTCGAAGCATATGATCAAATGGCATTGTTATATTCGTATTAGTGATTATATGTATGTATGTACAATTATATATGATGTAAACTGCATTATATATTCTTGATATCTGTGTAATATTTTATTTTCTTTCTCAAATTTTTAAAATAATTCAAATTCATCAATTCTACTAATAATTATTAAAATATGACAAAATCTATCATCTTTCCATCACATGAAAATTCATATAAATGTCCATATAGCATAAAGAAAATGGAATCATTAAATTTTTTATTAAAATTTATGCCGCATGGATATTCATGTGATATTAATGTGACATATTTCATTGAATTTTTAACAATATGTGACATAATGAATGGGGTTGAAATACTTTTAAAAGAAGCCGTGCAGCAAGTTTAATTTTAAAGATCATGAATTAAAATTAAATATTATACAAAAGTAATAGATGATTAGTGATTATATATATATATATATATATATATTTATATGGATACATTTTTTTTTTATTATTGAGAGGAAAGGTTTTTGATCTTTTATGGCAAGCTCAATATCACAGTTCTTGGCTGTTGGGTTACGATCATGTAAAGTTAAGATCATGTAAACAATATGTTAATGCATGAGGACTAGATCAGAACGCATGCATGGCTAGAAAAAATAGAAAAAGCAAACACTAACTGCATGCCTCAACGACGAACCACTCAAGCATATTATCTTTGTGTTCTTCGAGCTGTCTATCACATCTTTTATATTCTTTGCAGGTATATATATAAGTATATGCCAATTACTAATTTAAGCTATATTTCATAACCTTATTCAAGCAATAATGCAACAAAAAAAAATTTTTTTACAACTTTATACATTTTCTATATATATTTGAGATATTGGAGGACAATTAATTATAATATTTTAAGTTTTAGCATTTTCTTCTACGATATATTTAAGTAAAGACGACTCCTTCACTTTATAGTTAGAGTTAGAGAAAACAATTACGTTTCCAAATCTACAAATATATTTTTTTGTTCAATTTTAAGTTTTCTAGTTGATTTTGCCGGAATGAAAGAGTTGTTTTTGCTCAAAACCACCCCATAACCATATTTAGGTAACCTCCCACTTCTCTGAAAATTTGATCTTAACAAAAATTAATATACTTATAGAATAAAAATAATTAGTTTTCTTTTTAATTATTAGAAATAAATTGTGATTATTTGAAAGAAACATTTATATATTTTTTAACATTTTTGTCCAAACTAATCTAATTTCAACCTACATCTTATTTAAATATTTTTTAAAATATATAAAAATGGCTAGAAAAGGTGTTTATCATCTAGTCTGACTTTTGTTAAATGTTTGAATAAAAACATAAATCACAAATCATTAAAAAAAAAGAGTGGTATGAGAAAAAAGAATTTTGATAAAAAAAAATGCTTGCACTTTTTGATCCAATATCGAAGAAACAAATCAATTAACTCCTCATAGATATATAAGACCTTATTTATTATTATAAAATTATGTAATTATAATTTCTCTAAATATAGAGATTTATTGTAATTGAATTACAACTAGTCTTCCTCTCAATCAAGTACATATGATCAGCTAACATGGAAAGTTGAAACAATTGGGTAGAAATGTTAAATAAAAATATGTACAGAAGAAATTATCTTAATTTCCTTTTATTAGATATTTAGAATTTTCAACTGTATGATGTATAAATCGATGTCAAGATTAGCCCTCATTTATTTATTGATAAATTTACTTATACTTTTTTTTCTTCAATATTGTAATATTCTAAAATTTTCAAATTAAAATTTTAAATTTTAACAGTTTGAAATGTCCCCCAAGTTACTACTATTATATTTTAGTTTTATATTTTTTGTCATATTTACATCAACATAATCTTTTAGTTGATTGTTGATTTTTTTGTTTTAATTTTCAGAAATAATAAATTTTTTCTTTCATATCCTAATAAACGCAAAAATTTAAGAGAAAAAAAAAAGTTGTTAAAGCTAGCTTTTAATGTTAAAAATGACAAGAACTAAGAAATATGAAAAAAAATATATCTCAGTGGAGTTTTTTACAGTTTTTTTTTTTTATTAAATTAAAGCAATTATCTTTGATAACAAAAATTACAAGTTCATAAAGTTTCAATCTTTTTTCTATTTTATCCTATTAAATAAACTAAGTTTTATATTTGAATAAGTTGGATCATGAGCTTTTCATGAAGAGTTTATCCTTTTGAAGAGTTCATCAACAGGAAACATATTACAGTGTAAGAAACAATTATAAAATGGTCAACAATATAAATCTTTTACTTTCATTTTTATTCATTTTGTATTTTGAAGTTTCATATTAAATTAGGATGATTAATATCTATAAAAATTGTTAATTATTATAAAATTAAAAATATGATACAAAACTAGATTTTTTTTTTAATTTTTCTTAATGACAAGCATTTTTATGCTGTTGCTTACAATAAAATCTATATAATACAACACATTTTCAAAAAAAAAAAATTATAATACTAACAATACACTATAAATGACTTTAAATATAAGTCTCTTAGTCTATAGATATTAATTCAATTTCAAATTTATAAAACAATCAAACAAAAATAAATTCTTTATGTGTTAGCATTTTTAAAAAATTTTTTATCTCCAAAGTTTGTAAGACAGGGTTCAACATATGGTCAGTGGAAAATCTTTAATAGACAATCTTGGTCTTGGTGAATCTCAAAATTTTAATACCATATACATTCTTTTTTTTTTTTTCACTACAAGAGTAATAGCAAATTATGCCATTTATTATTTAAGTTCATATAATCAAAACATAGTTTCTTTTTTTGCCGACATATTGCAGTACAAGTGCCAAATATATTAAGAACTTTGTATTGCATATAGTTTTTAATTTCAACAAAACATTAAGTGTGAATTTCTTGAATATTTGAAAAAAAAATTAATTGTGGTCGAGAATGGTTTGAATTAAGTTCAATGTTCAAATTTTGGAGAGAACACACATAAACAGGTAGCATTTTTCTCTACAAGACATGATTAAGAGGTAAGACACATATTTATCAAATTTTTTCCTACAAAAATAACTATATTCTAACATAATCATCGACGTAATAAACAAAAAAATTGAAGTGCATACAAGTATTGATTCTCTGCTTTGTTATGTAGTACTACGATAACTAAGAAGTCAATAATAGAAATGATGGTGCAAAGGAAAAAATGTGGGGACAGCTCTATTTATGTAGCACACAAAGTAACCAATGCCCTGGCTAGATGGTCCCTTTACGCTCAATATTTTATGCCGACATGAATGGGTACAATATTGGCAGAAGAGTAATAAATTGTCCCTTCCACGAGTAGAGGATGACAAATAGGGCTATAGGTCCTTTGAGAAGTACCAAAACCTAAACTCAGAGCTGAGACAGGCCCCCATGTGATGCAAGGTAGCTGAATCTTGATTGAAATGGAGAAAGATGGGTGAACCCTGTGTTTCACACACCCACACCAAATTCAACTTGCCCATTTAATGCCCGTGTTTCACATTCCTTTGGGAGTAACTTTTAATGAATGAAGAAAAACATCAAAAGGATGAATTGACTGTTGTGATCACAGCACGTTTGAAACATGCTTATCAGCTGTGGATAAGTCACTTTCATTTAATCTAAGCAGCAAATACTAAAATTACAAACATGAAATTGAAATCTAAGCTGACGTTAATTATCAGTCCTTTTCCAAGCCTACTCCTAATTAAATATGGTAATGACAAAGTTCAAACACACAACATAATTAGTACGACGTCCACATGGAATCAAGCTCAGTAGGACCCATGGATATCTTGCCACCAGGACCAGAAACATTGTTACCTTCCTCGGATACTGAGCCCCAGTTCACGGATGAACCATCGTGAAGTGGTAGTGCCGCCAATGTTGGCCGGGAGAAAAAGAAGGGCAGCTGCAAATTATCCTGAAGAGAACTCAAGCTCGGAAATTCTGAAACACCGACATTTCTTGGATATCTTGTGAAAGAATCAAAAGTGTTGTTGATAATTTGGGGTGGAGGCGGCAATGCGTGGTTGAACCCAGGGTCGAAGGCGGGAGGGGTGGTTGTGGTGGCGGTGGCAGTAGCAGAGGCAGCTGCAGCAGCAATGGTGGAGAAACAGGACACGTGCTCAGATTGGATATCGCTGTCATAAGAGCAGCTGTCACGGTTAGTGAGGGATGTCGCTGAAGTGACAGTAGCAGTTGTGGTGGGATCCAGGAGAGGTGGAAGGGAGACTGAGGAAGGAGAACTTAGCTCTTGGTACAGTGCGATGGAGGAGCTCATTCGGTTCTTCTTGGCTCCTCCGCCAGTGCTGCTGGTTGCACCATTGCCGGAGCCACTCTTGTGAAAGACCCTGGATATGACCCATTCATCCTGGAATAATAAAAACTTAGCATTTTAGCAAAAAGTGAACACTTACATTTTCATCAAGTAATTGGTGGTTCTTTCCAAAAATATAAGTAATTGGTGGTTAATGCAACAGTGAAACTAAGGATCAATGTGTATTTTATGGCATCATATTGTATAAAAAATGTTGCTGCAAAAGTTACTGGAGTGTATAAACATGAATAGAAAGATACGATTTGCTTTTAACATACAGGTTAGTGAGATTCAGTTCATTGCTAAAAGTCCAAATAATAACAATACTTTTCAAGAGATCATATCATTGTTAGATCTTTGCATTTTCAGTGTTAACCTGAAAATTAAGGTTGGAAAGCTAATCGAGTATAGGAAACAAGAACAGTAATGGTACAATTTAACACAGATTAGTGAGTTTCAGTTAATTGTTCAAACAAGAACCACTGCTTTAACAGATAATATATGACTGTAAAATCTTAAATTTTCAGCAGTAAAATGAGAAATGGGATTGGCTTTACCATTGGAATGAGTGCAAGAGACATGAAATTTACAATTTCAAACAGGTAGTATAATTGCTTTATGGAATAATGATGCAGAAATTGTGGGCATTTATATCCCAAAGAAGACATAGGCCCTTCCATTGTCTGCAAAGGCAGTCAAATGCTTTCCCAACATACCTTTTTCAGCTCATTAAATGAAAAAACAGCATACGGGAACATTAATAGTTTGCATTTGTAACCAAAAACATAACTACTATTAACTTACTGCAATACCCAAACACACCATTTCCTGAGAAAATGGACCACAGATCGACCAAGAAACATGAAATTGAGCAAAATCTAAGCTTATTTTATCAAAACCCTCGCTAGAAAACATTGTTCAGAGTTCAGGCTCATAAAAAACTTCAATCATTAGATGATCAAGTTTAGACCTAATTGTTGGACAGAAACTAAACAGCTTATCATACACAAGAAGCAACAAAGTGAGAGAGACAGAGACCAGAGACCTTGGAGCTTCTTGAGAGATAATGGTAAGCAAATTTGCCTTCGAGGCGATATTCATGCATGACCCAGTTGCTCTTTTCTCCTTTATGAGCTCTTCCTCTATAAAACACAAGAGTTTTCTTCATTCCAACAAGTGCGCAAGTCTTTGTGCTGTAAATCTCCTTATCTTTCCCAGTAGCTTTCCAATAACCAGCTTCAGTGGCTCGGTTAGTTCTCAATCCAGTTGGGTACTTCCTATCTCTTAAACTAAAAAAATACCACTCTTTCTCTCCCATCTTAGCCTTCTCTGCCATATTCCATGACCAATACAAAACCCAAAAAAAAAAGTATTAACATTATTATCAGAACAATTTAGTGTAACAATGAAAACGGTGGTTGTGAAAAATGTTAATGATGACTTACCAGGAAGTTCCCAAGGCTCACACTTGTTTAGGTCAACTTCAGCTATTGCTCTACCAGTAAAGCTACTATCAAGAACTTTCTTCAACAAATAGTAAGTAATGAGCTCTTCATCAGTTGGATGGAAACGAAAGCCGGGAGGCAAATGAGTATCACCGTTGTCAAAATGATGGTAACTGTCCATGTTGATAAAATAACAGAAATAGTTTGAGAGCAAATAAAGCTTGAACTGAACTACTAAAAACCCTAAACTTCAAAACCAAAGTTGAGCATCATGAAGTGAAGAGAGTGTTGAAAAAATAACAGAAGGTGAAAGATAAAAAGGGTTTGAGTTTGATGAGGAATGGAGAGATGGGTTTGGGGAAGGTATGATCTGGAGCCGGAAAATCTGCTCTTTTTCTTTTTTTTCTGTTCGCTGTCCTCTTCCGATACCTTTCTCTTTCTTTTCCTTTCTCTCTACCCAGAGCTCTGGATTTTGCCGAGGGAAAAGGCGAAGAGAGGGAGAGAAGGAGAGTGATGTATGTGACTGAGGGGAGTGGGTTCTGTTCTGAGTATGCGTGCGTGCGTGACAAAGTGTGCAGGTTTTCTCTGTCAGTAAAGAAAATGAATGGGAAGGAACAGAAAGTAGTTTTTATGAGAAAAAGTCTTTTGGTTTGTGAGAGAGATCGAGATGGAAAGAAAGGGGAAAGGAGAGATTTCACCTTGTATCCATAAAGCTGTTTCATATCCCTCCTGCCAGCATAGTACAAGATAAAAATTATCAACTTGACAGATACTTTGTAATTACACGCCATCTGCCATCAACCCTTCTTTTCTTTTCTTTTTTTTTTCTGTCATTAACAAAAAAAATGAATTTCTTTATACTAAGTTTGCAATATTTCCATCCTTTTTGATTAATTATATATAATAATATTGAGTAATGTTATTTCATGCCAAACTATTTTTTTTAAAAATTGGTCAATGGTATTTATAAGGGGTTAATTTAAATTAAAAAATTATATTATTTTATTATTTTTATCAAACTTATAAAAAATAATTTGTTATTTATGACTTTTTTTATAAATATTATATAAATCAATATGAATAAACATTGAGCATCATTTTTCTTTTAAAAAAATATAGTAGTACTCGTAATAACAAGTGATGTAAATAAACTTAAATTCAAAGGATATCCATTGATTTTAAATACTTAATGAAACTTGATTTATAAATAAATTAGCTTTAAGAATATTTTTAATTATATATAAAAATGTATTATTAAAAATAAGCTTTTAAGAATATATATGTTTGCATGTACGTTGTATTTTCAGCTGACCCCTTTCATTATATTCTTAAACACATATACCTTGAAATCAAGATGTTTAAATATATAAGATTATCCCTTTTTCATAGGACCTAATGTTAATAAAATAAAACGTGGAGACTTATTTTAATTTTTCTTTTTTTTTTTGAAAGAAGAAATTTAAAAATAAATAGAATGTTTAATATTTTAAATTAAAATAAAATATATCATATTTGAAAGCTTAAAATAAGTAATTATTGATCGTACATTGGAGATGATCCTAATAAATTGATCATCGATAAAATTCAAATATAATATTTTTTTATTAAAAAATACGAGTTTTAACCAATTGAATCAACTACTTAATAATTATTTTTGTTTTCTTTTTCTTTACTTTGAGGTGTTTTAATATGTTTGTTTGAATTCAGAGATGTTGATCTGATTTTGGGTTTTTTATTTTTATTTTTTTGATCATTTGTTTTGATTTTTGTATGGGTGTAATTCGAGTCGAGTTGAATCGATACGGTGAGAAACTCGAACTCGAGCTCAACTCCCAACTCACGATTTAAATTCGATCGAGTTTTATTTTTTTAGCTCGAGTTCGATTCGTGATCGAGATCGAGATCGAGTTACTCGAGCTCGTTTGATTAAGCTCAATTAATATATAAAAATAAGCTCAATCCTTATACTCGATAAAAATTTAATTATTTATGTTCGAGTTCGAATTCGAATTCGAGATATTTTATTAATTAAAATAATAAATATATTTAAATATAAAAATTTGATTAAGTTCGTAAATTATTCAAATTGAGTATAAAAATATTCAAACTCAATTCGATCGATGAATCGAACTACTCAAGTTTGAGATTAGTTCGATAATAATCAAATAAAATTCGAATTTTATTCAAATTGAATTCGAATTTTATTCTAATCGAATTCGAATAATTTATTAGTACTAATATATTATTTACATTTTTAAAATTTTATGTATCTCAAGGTAAAAGTTAGTGAAAAAACCATGGCTTGGGCAAACTAATAATGTGAGGAATTTGAGGAATCACTGTTTCCACAATAAACTTTTGCTAGTAATTTTCATATCAATCAATTAAAAAAGAGTTTGCTTGATATATATATATATATTTATATATATGATATTTTTATGCTAACACATAAGACAAAAAGATTTCCACAGGGAGTACGCCAAAAGCAAGATGGCAAAAGAGCTTTTATTTTTGCCCCCTCTCCTTGCCTAGGCACGTGCCATTATAGCTATGAATGGTTTGGACCTTTTTTTTTTTTCTTCTCTTTGTTGTATATACAAAGGATGTGAATTTGCTTTTATATATTTTGGTAAAAATTGCTGACAAATTCTACAGTATCATGGCCCCCAACCTATATTTTGCTGAGACATTCTTAGCCAGGTAAAGATATATATATATATATATATTTTTTTGGTTTATCAAAAAAGTCAGAGTCTTACATTAAAAGGTGGGAGAGAGTTGAAGGTGAACTTCAATCGTGTGTTTTTGTAAGGCTTATTTGGTCGTTACGTCAAGAAATGAAAGATATATATATATATATATATATTTTACGATGTTTAAACTGTTGAGATTATGGTCTTCCTGCAAAATCTTTTTTTTTTATTTTAAATGAATAATGAAAATTTCATGTTTCCAAGTACTGTAACGATGAAGAGATTGCAAGACGCTAGGATTCTGCAACTTATGAATTTTCTTTCACGATTTCTTCTGATTAATCCGTATAACTTTTTCATTCTGTTGTACATATCCGATTGAAAATCTCATGAATTCCTAATATCACAAAAAAAAAAGAAAAAAACACCATTGGCCATCTTTGTCCCATATAAAAAAAAAACAAACGAAAATCCAATCTATACAGTGTTAGCCGAATACTATGTGTCAATGGGATTTGATTTTATATCATGTTTAATTTTCATTAAAATTTCAGAACAAAAAGTGCCAATGAGACCCCGATTCTCAGGTTTCTTTGCCATATCTCTCTGAAGACCCCATAATCAAACAAGAAAAGATTTACTTGAAGTAGACAATTACTAAAAAAAAGAAAAAAAAGAGTTTGAGAAATTAGAAAAAAGCTGAGAGTTGGTGAAGTAGACATGTTGATATGACAGCTAGAAGACTTTTCATACAGGGACAGGCTCTTGCTTCCGTCCCATATGATTTTTTTTTTGTTTTTTCTTTTTATTTTCATTTTTATCACTTAAAAAATAAATTATCTTATTTTTGTTTAAACCTTTAATCAACTACTCTACACTTTTAAAAAAAGTTCTAGTTTAGCATTTCAAGTTTAAATTTTATTGATGTAAATTTCATTCAAATTAAGTGAAGTATTAATTAATTAATTTTTTTTTCATGCATATTAAAACTATTTAAGTGTAATTATAAATTTGTTAACATATTTAATTTCATAACCAAAATATTTTTGTCTTCACAAAAAATAAAAAGGGTATTTAGGTTTTTCATTCTATGGATATTCGGTTGTTGAAATTTCAACTCATGAAATTCCAACAAAAATTAAAATGGGTATTTAAAATTTGCATTGTGTAGGAATGGAATTAGGTTTTCCAACCCATGAAATGGTTAAGATCACCATGCATGCATCAATTCAAGCAATCCCATCCATCCATCACCAATCCGAAAGTAGAGCTTGACGCTATAGGTTTTAGATGCGTCATGCTCGGATTTTGAGATTGTCACAGGCCTTACATCAGATCATCTCACCAATCTGCATGCTTAGGTCTTTTTTTTTTTTTTTTTTTTTCTTCTTCTATCTTCAATTTGCCCAATTCCATGTTTTCTTTTTCTAGTTGTCAAGGCTCTCTAACTGCAGTTACCCGAAAAACTCAAAAAATTTCCCAATGTTCACCTATTTTGTTAGTGGATTTTTAGATTTTTAAAATAAAAATAATTTAAAAAAATCTATAACCATCTATACTTACTATAAATATAATCCCTATCTCAATTTTACTGTTTACATTTTTAAAATCTTAAAAATTTTGAAAGTTCGTTTGGATCTACAAAATTGCTCTACACCTCTTGATTTTTTCTTTACGCCTCTAGTTGTCTTTTCGTTCTTTCTATTTTTCTTCATTGTCATATGCCATTTTGTCTCATTTATCACTGTTTGCTATCTTCTAACAGGCTCTCAAGGTGATTTTTTTTTTATGGTTTTGTAGGCGAAGAATGGAAGCCATGCTCGTAAAGAGAAGTGTTTATCGAAGGTTCTATTTCAAATTAATGTTTCATTTTCAGTAATTTCTAATAAATTATTTTATTGTGGATATGTTTATTGATTTTACTGTTATCAAGGTTTGATTAGTTATTGTTATATAATTTTAAAAAAATAAACAAAACTCATGAAGGAATCATATTAGTTTTTCATTCTTTATTGTTAAAGTTGACATTTTATTTGATTTATCGTAAGATTTGATTAGTTTTTACAACTGGATTTTTAAATAAAAGAGAAATCTGTAATGAGTTTGATGGAAAATAGCAAGAGCGATATGAGCAAGACTAAGGCAAAAAATGAGTAGGAATCATTGAAAGATGAACTGAAAGCTTATAACAGAATGGATGAATACAAGAAGGAAGATATGATGTCAGTTATTAATCTATTGGGGTCAGTTATTAATCTATTGGCTAAGAATTCTCTTCAACTTTATATTTTTTTACAGTTTTACATGACAGTTCCATAATTGTTGTATTTAAATAATTTATGGTTGTAACTGATTTTCAAAAATGAAAAAATATTTTTACCTCTCAATCTTTCTTTTTTTCTTTTTAATCTCATCAATTCTCCTCTGTTTTCTTCCTAGTGTTTTTAATTCTCCTCTATTCTCTTCTCAATCTCTAAAACCCTAACCAAATCATAATTAAGTCGTGATAAATTGGTATCAAAGCCCATTGCGATCTCATATCAACACTAAAAAAGAGTAAGAAACAACTTTCTATGGCTGAAGGCACTTGATTGAATAGCTTACATAAATAGGTTTAGAATGTCTTGACGTAGTTGGAGAACATGAAGGCAACACAGACGTTCATGTCAAAGCTATGAGAAGATCAAAATAAGGAGTTGGAAATAAAGATAGTTGATAATCACAACAGTTTAACCAATATGTTAGATTCCTTACTGCAAAAAAAAAATCTCCAACCCAGCCAGATCTAAGAGGAAAGGAACATGTTAGTAGTTCTCATTTGGGTCTATTGGTGCAAACTAAAAAAGAGGGTAAGAATCTTATTGAAATAACTATTATTAATAAATTTAATAAGTTTAGCTATAGGC